CTCAGGTCCCTATTTAAAAAAAAAATCTCATTAGGTATGGGGGACACCTCGGCTCTCCGGTCCTCAGATGGCACCATGCCCCAAAGTTATCCTTATCTCGCTCAGCCCCTGTAGGACAGCTTAGCCCCAACGCTTAATTATCACCATAGTCTTGTTTCTTCGTCTCCATTCCAAAGCTTGGAATTTCTTTAAGGGAACACAAGTTTAACTGGTGGACCAAATCAGGGCAGCCAGGAGTGGCCGGGACCTTGGTTCAGAATGTCTGCTTTGGCCACAATTAAATGGTGGGGGTCAGGGGCCAGTGAAGTCTACCAGTAGCATACGGGGTCAGAGCCCTGTTATTAGGGGTGCTGCCCCAATAGATGTTGTATTTTATATATCTTACCCCTTCAGCCCACTCTGCGCTAGTAAACCAAGTGTTATAGCTACTGTATGGTAATATAATTGTAACTGTAATGCTTCAGATTGAGCAAAGAAGCGAGTTCGACCGAAAAAAAGAAAAAACACATTGCTAGAGATGGTTAATATCATGTATAAATACATCTCCTTTTTCAACTTGACATATTTCAGAATTTATTTCATTGGCTGAAGTGTTTTCAAAAGCATTGATCTTTTGAGAAAGTGTGTCATGTGGGCAGGAACGCTATCGTCCGCCAGTGTTTGAATTTGATCTTTGCAAGTCAAGATCGTTTCAAGCATCCTAAGGACACAATCCCTACATGCGCATGAAGTAGGCACAAATCAAGGTTGATTCTGGATCAACTTTTATTTCTACTTTCCCAAAGGATTGGTGTTAAAAGATATATTGTCCACATTGAGCTGAAACGCTTGAAATATGATATTCAATTCAGAATATGAATTGTTTGCTCTGTATATGGGCTTGCCATGCCAAAACCAGCATAGTGACAAAAATATGAAAATGACTCATATTCTAATATAAGCTTTAAAATGATTGCTCATTTACTGGAATCGATTTACTATTGCCAAAGTTATGATGAGTAAAATGTTTAGATTCTCTGTACTAAAGTATATAATAATAATAATAATAATAATAATAATAATAATAATAATAATAATAACTTTATTTAATAAAGCGCAAAACAATATCCATTAAAAATGTTCACCGGTGCTGTACAGAATTTTAAAATATACATAGGCCTACATAATACTTAATTCTAATTACTCAGTTAAACAATAATTAGTGATAGTAATGCTGTTTTTGGGATGGCAAGACTCATATGCTACCTTTCATTTGAAATTATCTTCCTCATCAATTAGGCTAATTAAAACTTAAATAATCATTGCCTATATTTTTGTTAACCCTTAAATTGAGTGTTGAATTTATTTAATGATTTTCTTAGGCTCTGTCATCCATTTCAAGAGTACAAAATATAAACTTTTCTGACTTCTTTGTTGTCATTTTGAGATCAATTGTTGGCCCTGTCTCGCTACAGCATAAGCCTACTATATGATTTGTAGAGGCAGGTTTAGCACAACTCTACGCTCTGTTTCTAATCGAGATCGAGAGGTCGGTGTTTCGAGTCTGAGACTAGTTACTTTTCTATGTCCTTTGGACAATGCACTCTATCTTTATGCTTCTCTTCACCCAGAAGTTAAATGTGTAGGCCTACCTAGTTGGTCATGATAAATCATGTAGAGCCTCTGACACAATGCCAACGTGAATGATCATAAATTCACTTTTATTTCTGTTTCCCATACTTATCAGGACACTGTTGATTTTTTAGCTTTTTTTATAGTGATATGCAATCGTCTATTCTTTTTTAGATCCAAAAAAAAATATTCCTAAAAAACATGAACTTGCATTTCAGTGCTCCAGGTGAAACACGGGGAGAGCAGTGATTGAATTGAACCAGGATGGGTTTCTTTGGTGTGACACACACCCAGGGTAACCCACAGAAGTCCTGAGACTTCTTTCCAGTGGGGTCATTCTGGTGGTGAATTGGGCAGTACACCGGGAGACAATTTCCCAGTGGCTATGCTACGGGGACAAGGGTAGAAGCTGTCCCCCAGAAAAATTTTCTGTCCCCCAGTTTGCCCTCCCCACCCAATCATGAAGTTGACACAGCATTCGCTTATCCGGTAGTATACTTATCACGATCATTACTAGCAATGTGTTAATTTTCCCGTATATCTCTTATCTTAACTTGTATCACCGGTCTGCTATGGGAAAACATATTTTCCCCCCCCCCAAAGATTTTACCTTGTCCCCCCTTCCCCAGATTTCAGACACTGGCGCTGCCACTGTTATTCCCTACTCTTCTGAAGAGTATACTATGTTCTTTTGCACACAAGACCAGCTTATAAACATCACCTGAAAGATGCTGTGCTTTTGAAACTTGCATATCCAATACCCAGCTGAAACACAAGGAGAGCAATGATGGGAATTGAAAGAGATCTCTACATTCAGCACACAACAGAGTGACTACCAGTTTAGCCAACTGGACTTAGCTGTTCCAGTGACCTAAAGATTTTCATGATTCAGCATATGCACAATGTCTACCCCCAGTTCAAACTAATGAGCTGTGGTATGTTTACCAGTAGTCGTTTTATCCAGCAGTAGAAAGCCTATATATTTTTAGTTCTATTTCCGTAATTTATTTACTTGCTTGTATGTGTTGTTTTACCACCCCATGATAATATATACTTTTGGTTCAATGGGCTAGTCCAATGTTGAATTAAAAATAAATAATATATCTAACAAATAAAACAATAACATTTTTCAATTACAATACAAAAATTATTCATAAAATTTAAACTTTATTTTCTGCTTTTGTTTTCTTGTTGCAAATTAACATCCGTCTTCTGATGGTTCTGTGAGTATGCTGTTGTCAATGTATGGGTGTACCATAATTGATTTTATGGTTTACACCTGTTAAAGTCCAGTAACGAAAGTATTTGTACTTATGGGATTTCCTCTGTGGACTTGGGTCTAACCACCAAAATCCAGAGAATGTGAAATGAATTATGATGCTGTATGCAAATTAGGTTACCTTATGTAAATTCGGTTCCTTAACATTGACCCTGACTGGGCATCTAAGGAGGTCACACTCTGTTTTAAGACATACAATTCACTATTCCATTTTTTACTACCGTCTGAAAGAACTGGAAATGGCAACATGTATTTAAGAATGTGATGATTATTAGTTTAAATAAAGTTGTAATCCTGCCTTCTAATTTAGAGTATGACTTCTTAGTACTAAAATTGACATTTTGGAAATATACAGTATTTTCTTTCCCTTCATAATGCTCAAAATTATGTTTCAAGAATTTTAAATAATAGAGATTACTTTTATATACATTTTATTAAGGAAATGGTGAAATTTTTTCAAGTTTCCTGATCAATGTCCTGTTAATACCATATAGCTTATATCATGCTTATATCTACATCTCTTGTCTTAGTTGCTTTATCTCGGATTTCATTAGTTGGATTGTAATGACAGTTAGAATAATAATTAATGATAAGAATGATAAAGGAACAATAGATAGTGCTTTAATAGATTGATGCTAGATTACATTCTGTTATTAGTAAATGTAGAACAGCAATCAAGATGCAGTACTGTACATAGCAATTTCACTTTGATTCTGTGTGGGTGTTGTAAAGAGGCGTATGTGGTTGTGAAAGGCGCTGAAGCTCGGTATTGGGTAGGATAAATTTAGTCGAATGTGGAACATCAAGTTATAATGAGAGATATTGATTTTAATTGGATGTGGGTAGTAGTGAAATTTATTGTTGATACACACATTTTTTGAATGACAAAACTCATCTTTATCAAGAAATACAATTAATGTGTAATCACTGGTCATTTCCTACTAAATTTCGGTTCCACTGTTTGAGCGAGTGTCATTAAAAGGTGATAATTTTGGGGCGCGGCTTTCGGTTCATGCTACAACAAGTCTTGATTTTCAACTCAAGTGTTAGGTTGTGATTGAATTTTTATCTCGTCGAAAGAAGCGTCTGGTGTGTTTGTCAAAACATTTAAGATTACTTTTTTAAAATAATTTATCTCTCATATATTAGATATATAATATAAAAATATTAAATATTTCAGTGATCTCTAAAATATTATATTATGTTGAATTGAATAAAAACTTTTTGTAACTACTCTACTTGAGCATAATTTTAATGCTTAACCAATTTGTAGTGGAAGGGCCTCTTGGGTTGGGGAGGGGGTTGAGTGATGGGTGAGGTGTAAAGGCTTTTTTTTTTTTGTGTCGCTGTATATTGTATGGACTGGTATGGGTAGCAATAGCTAATTGGCTATATTCTATATTAATGGCATGGCTATTTACAATTTAAGTAACAGAAATAACAATACTAAATATAGGAGTCCTACAGCTGCCAAACTGGAGGTCATATTTATATTCATTTTTCTCATATGATATGAAAAGGTCAAATATGTTTTAACCCTAACAAACCAATTGATAAAGCCATTATCTGTGGTTGACCCAACCTAACCTCTATGTGTGCAATACAACTCTTACCTGTACTCAACTAACCTCTAGTATGGCAAATACGTTTATTTTTCTCATTGTAATTTAAGAATGATTGTAGAGAAACCAGAAGCATGTGACACAGTAAATTTATAATTTAATTAAAATGTCAAGGTGACAAAAATTCCTCTTTCCTCCTACAAATAGCACCCTCAAGTCATTTATCAAAGTCCTCCCCTGTAAACAGCATCTCCAAGACATGATCCTCTCAAGATCCTCCTAACAACATCCTGTAACACATATTCCATCCTGGGGTGTAGAGGTTTTTAACTATTTACCCCTCTGTGCAGTCACCATCCCCTAGGCCTAATATAAATCATTTCTCAATCTTTTACCACTTATTTGTTTATTATTTATAGTGTTTAAATTTTTTTTTAAATGTCCATTATTAAAAACAATGCTGTACAAATTTCAGTATATAGAGTAAATGGTTTTTCTAAATATCGCAGAATTTATTTTTAAAGAAAATTTTGGTTTCTGTGACTCAGGTTTTGAAGAGATGTAGGTCAAGATTTAACCACTCGCTGTAGAATATTTTGTAGTTACGATCTAAAAGTGCCGAATTTGAGCAACTAAATGGGCCGCAGGTAACATTGCACTTTCCAGATACGAACTCATCGTACTCCCTCTAGTGAACTGGTATGTATGCTTAGTTCTTTGATTAGATGGCTTGAGGCTAGTTAGCCTTCGACAACTAGAAGTCAATCAAGGAATTTTGTCTCTGGGTCAAACTGAAGATCTGATTGGCACTCACTTCTGCTAGGTTCTTGCCTTATTTTAGCTATCACCCAAGGGATGGTGTAAGGCCACTAGCATGTTTTTAGTAAATAGTAGATATTGTTTGTATTATCTCAATTATGCATTTTACTTTAATATCAATGCACCAGCAAACAACCCAAGGTTAATATTTGGCTTTAGCAAAATTTTAAAAAAAATAAAAAATTAAAAAAGCCTCCATCACTCATCACTTTTCAAGCCTAGATATGTTGATAATAATTTCTTTTATTGGGTCAAATATTTAATAAAACAGTTGAATTGATCAAATAAGTTAAATTTTCCAATGATACAGATAAAAATAGATCATTTTCAGAGAAAATCCTTAAATTTAAGAGACATTTTACGATGAAAATCCTTAAATTCCCTGCCAGCCAATTAAAGAGTCAATGTACTTTGTAATATGGTAAAGGCTATTTATATCTTTTAGTTGATGAAGAAAATATTTTATAAAGTTATCATTGATTGCTGATAGCTTGCGTAGATAAAAAAAAAGACAATTAAAATATATAGTTATATTATTTCCCAAGTTAATTCTAGAAGTACCAGGATTTTTTTCTTAAAATTAAAATTTAAGACTCCTCGGACTGCACTTTCCAAGCCTCGTACACTTTTTTTTTTATAAGAAAACTTTTTATAAGAACATTGTGGTCATAAATTGCTTTAAACTTAAGAACAAAATAAGAACAAATTCAGCGGTTAAAATCAGAGCCGTGATGGAAACGCTTCTACCATAACCCCATTTCTTTGATATGATGAGTAGATAACACATCAATATTGCCTCTGATATTCTCCATAGAAGATGAAACAGAGACCCAATTGTACTAGAAACATGATGCTTGGAATTGGAATAAAACATGAAAAAAGGCTAAAATTTGATTGTTCATTTTTATGCTGATTAGCAATAACTTGGAGGATCATTCATTTAAGTTTCAATGATACAAGTAAGATGGTGAGCTTACTATTAATTTTCATAATCTATAGTAGAAACTGCTTACTGTTCAATTGTACCTGCCACCTGTATTTATTTTAATGTAAATTGAGCCTTATTATTGTTTATTCTCATGCTTCTCATGCCCCTTTTACCTGTACCATCAACCCTTGATCCATCGCCTAATGAATTGGAAGATGGTTTCAATCAAAATTATCATGCTCGTAATATTTGTCACTAATAAGGTTAGCTGAACTTTCTCAGGTTCGCTAGCTCAATTCAGTTTTTAGTTGAAAACATGCTGGGTGAAACCTGGAATTGTTATACATAAAACTGATATTGTACATGCTAGAGTTTGTCCTATTTTACTTATTTTTAAGAAACTTGCTATAATGAATAAATATACCAACAAACTTATATGTAGGTCTATTTTTTACATATATAAACATTTACTCTTTTAAGTAAAGTAATATTTTTAAAAATATATATATATATATGATACAAGATAAATCTTTAATATCTTTTCAAGAAAGGAAAAGTGCAGTTTGGTACACAATAGACTATAAAAAAACATATAACAATCTGCACTTTTTTTTGTATAAGAACCAGTAAAATTTTGCCCAGGCCCAGCCTGATTTTAGCCTCAGAATGGTCTTAATTTGTTCTTATTTTACACACATAATTATTATTGTCATTTTATTTCAGCTTCAATTTGTTATTATTTGTTCTAATTTTTAAGCAATTTTAGCCTCAGTGTTCTTAAAATGTGTTCTTATTTATAAAAGAAGTGTACTGCCACCCACATTTTGATAACCAATGTTTGACAGGGCTATAAGCTACCATACAATTTTTTTTTTTATAAGAACACCAAGGCTGAAATTGCTTAAAAATTAAGAACAAAATAAGAACAAATTGAGGCTGAGGTAAAACATCCAATGAGATTTTTATTTAAAAAAACTAGAAAAACCAACAAATTATATCTGTACCTTATGTGCTGTAGGTGTGACTATGTAATTATCTCCGCTTCAATTTGTTATTATTTGTTCTAATTTTTAAGCAATTTTAGCCTCAGTGTTCTTAAAATGTGTTCTTATTTATAAAAGAAGTGTACTGCCACCCACATTTTGATAACCAATGTTTGACAGGGCTATAAGCTACCATACAATTTTTTTTTTTATAAGAACACCAAGGCTGAAATTGCTTAAAAATTAAGAACAAAATAAGAACAAATTGAGGCTGAGGTAAAACATCCAATGAGATTTTTATTTAAAAAAACTAGAAAAACCAACAAATTATATCTGTACCTTATGTGCTGTAGGTGTGACTATGTAATACCTTCTATAATACAGTACAGGAGGTGTACCTACCTGTCATTTGGGGCCATTTTTACTGGGGGCTTTTTCAGAGGCCATTTTTTCCACGGCCACTTTTACATACATTCTAGTACAGTGTATATATATATATATATATACGGTACTGGTACAATAATAATTTTGTATAATTTGAAAATTGTGTAACATAAGTACAAAATAAGAACATTTTGAGCCTGTAATCAGCCAAAAAATAAGAACATTGAGCCTGGGAAAAATGTTACTGGTTCTTATAAAAATAAAAAATGTACTACTTCTCACATTTTGTTAACTTACCATGGGACTATGAAGTTCTGTCACCCATATTTGAATGACCATGTTTCCATAATAAAGTAATTTCATATCTCATGTAATAATAATTATTGATAATAATTTTATATCATTGCTTCTTAGTATTTTTTTTTTAAGATTAGAAATAAAAATATTTTGTTATTATAATAATAATAATGATAATAATAACATTTGATAATATTATGATATTATCAATGCTGCTCCATTCAGTGGTGTCCCCCTCTCCTCTTTTGGATTTGTCTAATCCCCTGTCTGCAAAAGTGAATGAGACAACCTTAGATTCTCTATTGCTTTCTTATACCCGATTCACACATGAAGTTAAATTTAACAAAAAGTAACAAATTGTAACCGAGCGATCTCCCGAGTTATTCCTACCGAGATAAAAAGCATTCACACGCGTCTGTAAGGTAATGCCAAGGTTGTGTAAAATTTATTCAGTGTTTATTCAATGAACCATTTTTCCGCTACTGCGATATAGTTCTAGCCTAGGCCTAGTTGAGAACCCCTGTCACAGATGGACTGTTGAACTCACCATCACAGTAAACATTCGAAGCAATCAATACCCTTAACAACTGCTGTACTACTACTAAACTAGGCATAGCTTCCAACGTTTCTGTCTTGGACTCTTGTAATACTAGTAATAGTACTAACACCATCCCGACGTTCATTTTATGTATATCTTCTTCTTCTACCATTACTAATTAACATCAATAACAAGGGTAATTCATTCATGATTTAGAAAAACTAGGCCTATCTATTTCTAGTGGATCAGAATCGTATACAGAAGGAAGAAAATTCAAAGAACCCCGTGAAACAGTAGATTGTTTTTGTGTTGAAATCCCTGCGCATGCGCAGATCCATCCATGTTACATCTCGGAAGCTTTACCAGCCTTGCTGAGGCTGGTAAAGATTACCGAGACGTTCCGAGATTTTACAAGGATATTACACGGAGGTACTTTCACACGTGCCGTAAAATGTTACTTTTGGGTACATTTTGTTACATTTGGTAAGATTTTTGTACGTGTGAATTGGGTATTAGATGATGAGGTATGCAGCCTTCAAGCTTGGTAATTATGGTGATAATATTTCATTGGTGTTTGTTCAAGAAAAAAAGTGGCTTTTATGGATATTGTTTTATGTTTTTGTTTTTGTTTTTTTATAGTACCTGCTTGAAGATGATGTGAACGTGAATGAAAATTTCACATAAACAAGATATAAAGTAAGTGGATTGTGAGAGCATGTTGCAATTACAGGTCAGTTGTAGAACGGTTTTTTTTAAAGACAACAAATAGTTGTTTGACAAAAAACTTGGGAATGGTGAGTGAGATACAGACTTTTCAATGTTTAAAAACTGGGGGGGGGGGGAAAGGGTGGTTACACCCCCTTTTTATATATTTCCCCCCAGTTCGTAAATATTTAAAAATCTGTATCTCATTCAACGTTCCCCAGTTTTTCGTCAAACAACATTTTTCAAACTTAGAAAAATCAATTCTACAACATATCAAAAAATTATTTTCCTCCGGAGCCTGACCTTAAACTGCCATTGAGTCTGGATTGCTTATATTGTACATTTCAATATAGCTTTCAAACAAAAAATATAGGTCTCCCTCCAGAAAGGAGAAAGAAGAGAGCATGGTACTCCAAAACAAACTAATTATTGATCTAAATTCCATGTACCAATTTTTGGGGGTGTGCGAAGGTGACCTCGCTATCCAAATTGCTTTAATCACACCTAATGGTCATTGGGTGATCTAATTGCTGACAGAAGAAAACTGTCTAATGATCAATTTGTTTTAGTGTTTAAAGACTTACAGCATCCACCGCTCCACATCGAAGAGAAGAAGCCGTTGCCAGGATAGTAATCATCTCTTGACAATGGTGAGGGCTTTACTAACAAGTCTCCGAATGTAGATTGAATGAGCAGAGGCCTGTTCTTCCTCAATGATACGGGAAGCAGTCTTGAGTTTTCCACAATTTCAATCCTTCTGTTATTAACGACTGAAAAACACTGCACTAGTTGTCGAACTTTCATTCAATAATTACACTCATCATTGTTATGAATAGGACCAACAACAGTCGTATCATCAGCAAAGTTGATAATATGACAATCTAGCTTTTTTCCTGAGGAAAGGCGGGTGTGTAGAATTGGCTGTAAAAGTAGGGGTCTATACGCTTATACTGGATGTGAGCTTATACCTGAGGAAGTACACTAACAGAAAAATTCTCACCAATTGACCACCTGTATTATGTATTTAATATATTCTTTGCGTAGAACAGTAGTAATGTAATGTGGTTGGATTTATATAGCGCTTTATACCGAAGCCTCAAAGCGCTCGAGGTGTGGACTACAGTAGCGCAGTAACATTCTTCTTCCCATAAGGGTCTCTTTGTGTCTGAGCTACCTGGTAAACCGGTACCAGCTATCTCTCATCTGTCCACAAGCTGTATGAACCAGTACACCGGGGTAATCCCCTATTCGTCTCGAAAGATGTACTGGGTTCTTTGTAGTGCACACGAGCCATTGTGTACACTGGGCCTACGGTTTATAGTTCTTATCCAAGAAGACTTGTTCCACCACCAGCACCATGGGCGAGCATGCTCATTGGAACCAGCACCATGGGCGAGCGTGCCGTTGGAACCAGCACCGATATTATGGCTGTAGGTTGCTGCGCCCCTGACTTAAGTGGTCGACCGTCCAAAAGTCAAATGTCTATAAATTATCATCATTGTTTAAATTTTTCCTTTATTTTTTTAACTTGACTTGTAGTGCCGTATATCTTTAAATTTAACTATGTTATTTATGACATCTTTACATCTTTTAGGAAGACAATAATAATTAAAAAAACACTTGTGTTCAACCTGTTCATATAAATTATTCCTTTGATATTTTCCTACCAGCGCTGATTTCTAAAATTTGTCTTTTATCAAGGCCAACAAGTTTAATTGATTTCTCTCCTCAAATATTTCAACATCCCATATTTGTGCAATGTAATTATAATTGGTATGGACAAGCAATTCACTGTGATACCCTTTGATCTTCATTTAAATTATTTGAAGATTAAAATGTTGGCATATCACCCAAAGACTTCTGTCCTCTCCATATTTTTACCAATACACTTTGATATGTCATGCAATAGGAACAGATATAATATGCTTAATCATCTTCTAGTCTTTGATGGCTGTTTTAAAAGTGTTCATTCTTATCCAACTTTCTGACCTCAGATTTAATAGCATTAAAGTAAACATCAGAAAAACAAAACACATAGAAAAATTATAATATTTTTCTCTTTGAAAATCTGATAACTAAATGGTTTTTACATGTTTTGTAAACTTTTTGTAGGTTTTTATAATCTTTAAGTCAGGTCTAATGGTATATGGTAAAAATTTGAAAAAGTGCAATAGTAATTACCAGCAGTGTAAAGAAAGGAAACGTTATTTCGTTGTTTATCATAGATGTTGTTTACCAACTTAAAATAATTTTACAGTTGATTAAGTATACTCAGTAGTTAACTAATATTTCTTTTCGAAAATTACAAGTTTTGTGCGCGCTTGTGACGTATACAATTAGATTTATGATGACATCTCAAGTGCATTGCTCAATCCAGGTTTAGCAAGAGGCCATTGTATTGGAAAGAATTAGGATAAATTCTAAGATGAGTGCTTCATTTTACTACTGTACTTGTACTTGTATAATATAGAATGGCAACTCCTTTAAAATGGAAAATTAATATATTAAAAAATAATGGGTCATTCAATTTGGTATTTAATTTCAATTTTACTTTTCTAATTTTAATTCTGTTCAGTTAGTCATCAATGCCTGTACAGCATCTGGATGAGTTCACAACGGCAGGGGCTGCGAGATGGAGCAGTACGCCGGGGTAACCCCCCTACTCGTCTCGACAGATGTACCGGGTTCCTTATAGTGCACATGAGCCAATTATGTTCACTCATGGGCCTACGGTTATAGTCCTTATGCAAGAAGACTTGTTCCACCTCCAGAACCATAGGGGAGTGTTCCGTTCGAACCAGTGGTAATGGCTGTAAGATCCGGCACTCTTGCCTTAACTGCTCGGCCATTTAACTCGCCTTTTGATACTAGTTGAATTGATTAATATTTTTTATGTTAAGTTCTCTGATGATAACGAAGGTGGAAGACCTCAGCAAGATGTTTGTTTGGTTATCAAAGTTAAAGAGGGTTTCATAGTGCATGTCAATGAATGTTGTTTATTTTCAATGACTACAAGCTCAGGTCATTGTCCCTTTTACTATCCTATTGCATTATGAGCCACAAAAAATCTAGTACATGGTCAATGCTGTTTATTTCACCTGGTGCCCTATTTCTAGTATATATGTACTGATATTGATTCTGATAACCTGAATACAATTTTTTGATAATATATGAAAAAAATAGTCTCAAATATACCATAGTTAATGTAAAAATAGCATAATATACTATTTAATAGTATATTGTAATGTTATGTTTTGTTATTTACAATGACATCGTGTGTCATCAGATTTACCTCTAACGTTATTTTTCCATTGTAAAACGCTCATTAGTTTCTGATATTAAACGCTTCGTTTTGAATATCAATGATCATTTGTGCTTTTACTACATAATGTATGTACCCTGTACTACCTGCACAGCCCCATATCATCAGCTTCACAGTCCTTAATATCAGCTATAATGCCCCTTCATATCAGGGACACCATTTCTTCTTCATATCAGCTACACCATGGCTCATTAATATCAACTACATGGCCCTTTAACATCAGCTACACAGCCCTTTAATATCAGCTACACGACCCCTTCATATCAGCTAAACGGGGGCCCCCATATCAGCTGCACAGCCCTTCATATCAGGTACACAGCCCCTTATATCGGCTATCAGTTCCTTAATATAATAATAATATGTCGTTCTTATATAGCGCTTCATGCACAAAGCCTCTAAGCGCTTCACATATCGGCTGCATGGCCTCATGATATCAACTACATGAGCCATTCCTGTCAGCTACATGGCCCCTTAATGTCAACGACATGGCCCTTTAATATTAGCTATACGGTTACTTCATATTTGCTACATATGGCCTCTTCATATCAGCTACATGGCCCCTTAATATCAGCTACACATCTCCTTAAATGGCACTTTAATATCATACCTACATAGCCCTCCAATATCAGCTGCAAGACCCTTTAATATCAGCTACATGCCCCTTTAATATCAGCTACACAGCCTTTTAATATCAGCTGACATTAAAAAAAGTTCATTATACTAGGTTGATACTTTATGCTGTTCATTATTTCACCCACTCAAATATCTATTTTATTACCTGACACACGTACATACATCATATTTTAATATATTTCCAGTTTTTTCATGCTGTTTTAGTCGTCTGCTGTTTTTTGTCATCTGCTGTTTTTTGTCATCTGCTACACAGCCCTTTAATATCAGCTACACAGCCCCTTCATATCAGCTAAACGCTCCCCACCCCTTCACGGCCCTTCATATCAGGTACACAGTCACTTCCAGTTACATGGCCCCTTAATATCAACTACATGGCTGTTTAATAATAATATCAACTATACAGCCCTTTAATATCAGCTACACAGCCCCTTCATATCAGCTACACATCCTTAATATCACCTACAATGGCCCTCATATCATCTACATGGCCCTCATATCATCTACATGGCCCTTTAACATCAGCTACATGGCCTTTAACATTAACTACATGGCCCTTTACATCAGATAGATGGCCCTTTAATATAAGCTACACGGTCCATTCATATCAGCTACACGGTTCATTCATCAGCTACATGGCCCTTAATATCAACTACATGGCCCTTTAGTATCAACTACATGGCACTTTAACAGCTACATGGCCCTTTATATCGACTACACAGCTCCTTAATATCAGCTAAATTGCGCTTAATATCAACTACACAGCGTTCTAATATCAGCTAATAGTAAATGGCCATTAAGTATAAGCTATATATGGCCCTTTAATATCGTCTACCTACCCTTCAGTATCAGCTACATAGCGCTTTAGTATCAGCTACACTCCCCTTTAATATCAGCTGCACAGCCTTTTGATATCACCTCATTAAAAAAAGTTAAATAGGTTGATACTGTATGCTATTCATTATTTCACCCACTCAATCTATTTTATTATCTGATACACGTACATACATCGTATTTTTATATATATCCAATTTTTTCATGCTATTTTTTGTCATCTGCTTCAAAATTCACCGAAAGTCATACAACCATGCATTCGATTAAGGCTGTCTGTGTCTTTTAAACTTGTAGACCATGAAATAATGCAGATTTTCAGACTGTTTATGGATCATTTAAGTCGATATCATATTATATATAATTACACTAATAATTACACTATATTCTCCTGTGTACTTAAATGCATTCATTACAGGTTAAACAACCGATTTAGGTTTTTGCTAACACTAGTCTAATCATATTTTCAAGTGATGTTGACATAAGCTGTAGACACCAATAAAAATAGATTTTTCTCTAATTTTTAAGACGTTTTTACTTGAAAAATTGTTTATTTAACACGTTTACTGCCAAATGTTGTTTTCCTAGTTGTTGCCATTATGCCAAGGCATAAAGTGCACCACTATGGAAATAATTCCCATCAACTGTAAGTAACGTACAGAATCTATTTTTAGATGATTGCTTCCTAGTTCTTCCCTGAACCACTAGGGTGAGATTAGTGACATATCTAAGAGTCTTGAAATGGGGGAGCTGGTGGGGGCGCGCAAAGGTCACATGGGGGGGGGGCTCGATGATTAGGTGAGGGGCTCTAACTCGCAAAAAAAGATAATTTTTTTAGGTGATTTTTAACTACTTGAGCATGATTTTTGGGCTGGTGGGGCAACAGGGACACAAGTATTTTTTTAAAAGGTCGTGCGATCACCCATGCATCCCCCTCCCCAGATACGCCCTGATGAACCCTGTCAGAAATGAACATGAATACACTAAATTCTTACAGTATAGGAATGGCATTGATGCATGGTAAGTTTTACAGTTCTCTGTCTTGCCATTTCACTTCATAAAAAATACTATATTCCAAAAACAATACACAAAGCAAGACAATTAAAAAATTTTTCAGGAGGTGGACTAGATTGCCAATAGCAAAATTAATCACTCTCTACGTGGCTCTCCAACCCCCATTCAACATAATAAAATACAAATACTGTAATTATGTATACATAAATTTACTGGTATTTAATATATTACCACCATATATTTTTTGTTTAATAAACAATTAACTGTAACTGTTTATTAAGTGCAAAATTACTGTCATATATATAAAAAAATATATATATATCCTGCAATTTTTATAGATTTACATTATCTTGTTATAATTTTCAAGGTCTTGAGAAAAAGATTTTTTCTCATGGTCAAACTTCAAACTAAACTATACAATTATTAAAATATTGTTTTGAATGTGAAATTAAAGCAAAAGTATAAGAAAACAATATTATCAATTTTCAAAATATTGACAATCTTGAATGTGATAATGAAAAACAATATTATAGTTTTACATAATCAAAAAAATC